ATTTTAAATAATCGATTTATATAATAAGATGTTTCTCTTGTTTTTGTTATTATAATTGTAATTCTATTGAATATGGTTATATTATAATATTAATAGATTTATTTATATTAGCGATTCAAAAATAAAATAATATATAGAATTGATATATTCTATTTAAAAATAAAAATAAATCTCATTTATTATCTTTATTTATGTTTGGTTTATTTCGATTTAATAAAATAGTTTTTTAATATTGAAATGAGGGGAAATAAAAACTGATAAATTATATTCGAAAGATATAATATATTCAAAGAATTATTTTCAATGGAAATCGAAATAACTCGATTGATTTAACATATATTACACGAACGGAAGATATTTATTGAAATAAATAAAACTCTTAAATAAATAATGAAATCTTATATTAATATAATAAATCATTTCAATGGTTAGACTAATATTGATAGAAATAAGATTTTATTCAATTTATTTATTTTAATTTAATTGAGTTAACCCTTTGTTGGTGTTTTTTTTTGTTAAAAATCTTTCTATAGTTTTATAATGAAATTATTTTATGTTATTATTGTCGAGATAAGATAATAATTATATATTATTGTTTTTCATTAAAAAAAATCTTTATTTAGAAATAAAATATCATTTGTTTTGAAGAGTATTCAAATTGTTAACAAGAATTTTTCAAATTTAACCAAACGTTTTATATTATTTAAATGGATTGAAAGAATGGTTTTCATATTCGTAGAATTAAAAAAAACAAACTTTCATATTAAATCTTTATTATTGTTTTTTCAAAGCTAATTTAAATAGTTAACTATCTCCTTGCATTTGGTCCAAAATTCATTATTTATTATATAAATCGATTTCTAGATGAATCTATATTGATTATCTTATTATATATAAAGATTGACAGCGAAGATTATTTATTATTTTAATAATCTATTCTAGAAACATTATATTGACCTGAACAGTTTTGACACAATTTATTTCTCTCCACTGAACGATCGCTAACAAATGATTAATATTTCATCTGATTCGAATGTGTTTTATCGAAAATCTGTTTTTAACTGCTAGATAGAAACGTTCTATAAGATGAAATAATGATAAAATAGTTCGAATTATCGATTAAAAATGTCTAAGGAAATAAATTTAATCGATCCTTATAAAAAACGTTTTGAAAATAAATTTATTCGAATAGGATATTTATCGATATGGTTAAACAAAGAAATTCGAAAATAAAAAATGAAAATATTTTGTTTTTTTTTATATTTATCAATATAGAAGTGATGATGTACCTGATTAATATAATCGAGTTCGTTACATTCCAGATTCTTGTAAAGTATTGTCTGATCTTTGGAAAATAAATAAAGATTTTGTAAGTTAAATAAAAGTATTGATAAGGATGTATCAAAATCATTGA